CATATTTAGAAATTACCATTGTTAAATTTATTTCCTTACCAGTGTCCAGTTAATACCGTAAATGTTTGTAAAACATGCCATTTTTATCAAAAATTTACAAATATTTGCTACTTGATTTTTTTACCTGTGTAAAAAATGACATAACATACATAATGAAAGAATTAATTAATTTATTGATATATCATTATCAATGTTGTTAATCGATTTTTTTAATTAACATTGATACTAACATATCAGTTATTGTTGTTATTGTTATTCAACAGAATTCTGGTGATTAACGCTCATGATATTAGCTGAGTTCGGTTCAGCAGCGAAATTATTTTGGTGATTATAAATCATGTTTTGACGAATGTAACTCTCCTTACCAACACTTTGACAAATGTTCTCAGTGTTTTGATAAACGGAATTATTGTCGTCGACATTTTGATAAATATCTTCGGGAGTTTGATGAATTGTGTTATGAATCATGTCATGATGAACGTAATTATTACCAACGTTTTGATAAATTTCTCCAGGGTTTTGATAAATGGGATAATTATAAATTACGTTTTGGTAAACGGAATTATTGTCATCAACATTTTGATAGGTGTTTTCAGGGTTTTGATAAATTATATTAATCATATTTTGGTGAACGGAATTATTGTCACCGACGTCTTGATAAATTTCTCCAGCGTTTTGCCGAATGGGATTATTATGAACCATGTTTTGATGATTGGAATTATTGCCACTGACATGTTGATAAACGTCCTCGTGGTTTTGATAAATTGTATTATGAAATGTATTTTGGTGAACGGGATTATTGTCACCAATTACAATTATAATGTTTTGATGAATTTCTCCGGAATTTTGATGAATGTGATGATAATTCATGTTTTGACGAATGTAATTATCGTTACCAGCATTTTGATTAAACATGTTTTGGTGAACGTAATTAATACCATCGACATTTTGATATATGATATAAATCATGTTTTGATGAACGGAATTATTGTCGATGTTTAGCTAATATCAATATTATTAATATCAATATTATTATTATTATTATTATTATTATTATTATTAATTTTTTTTTTTTTTTAATTTTTTAAATT